ACTTCATGCACCACATTAAAACCATGTCCTGAAATCAAGTTAATCTCTCAGCTGGAAACAAAGGGAATGAAGGAAAAATTTTACCATTAGAAGGTGCCAGTTATACCCTAGGGACACATCATGTGCTCACCTGGGTGGTGATGCTTCCCTGGGCTCATGGAGACATAAGTAAAGAGTTATGTGGAGGGAGTGGGGCAAAGAACCCAAGGGACCAGAGAATTGAAGAGGAGCTGAGTTGGAGAGCATAGAAAGGGATGGGATAAATACCCTTTCTGAATTCTTGCACAAATCAGGAACTGAGCAGGAGACCTAATTACAATTGCACTTTTCTCATGGTACAGTGCTGTACCATTGTAATCACAGCCAGAGTTTTTTGTCCTGCCAGTGGGATGCTGAGCTGGAACCTAATATACACCTGCATGGTGCAGGGGATTGCGCCCCACAGTGGTGACGTGTACCTGCACACCAGTGCTCAGAAAGCACCAGTTGCTCCTGCACAGTGCGGTCTCAGTGCTTCCTGCAATGGCCCAGACTCAGCTGGGTCTGCAGGAATCATATTCTGTGACTAGCAGCATTCTCATTACCCAGTTTTGTGTTTCACCAGGGCCCTGCTGTGGCTGTTGGGAGCCAAGACTTTGAATCACGTCAATGGGACAGCATTTAGCTGATGCAGCGAAGACTCCAGGCTAGAAATAAGCATCCCCATGTGCTACGCAGTCAATCACCAGCACAGCCACTTGTTGTTCCTGCAGGGAGGGATTTTAACCTAAGATACTCTGGTCCCCAAAAATCATTTCAGACAATTTCAGCACAAACCGGTTCCAAAGTAACATAAAAAAGCATTGTATATCCACACTGTTAGAGGATACACAAAGTTATATATTCACATGAGCAGCAGAAATTCACTGGTCTGAAATTTTGCCTTCCGTTATAACTTTTCCATGCAAGCCTTTGAAAGAAATCTGGACTGCAGAGAACTATAAGAAGTCTTTCAAGAGCTGACAAGTATCCAAAAATGCATCTGCCTCTCCAAATGATTCAACCTAGTTGGTCTGGGAAAAAAAAAAATATTAAAAAATAGGGTATTTCAGCAAGAGTCGTGCCTTAATTTCCCATGCAGTACTTACCCTCTGACAGTTTTGGAACCTTCTCTTGTAATGTTTGAAAAGCAGCCCCATTGCAAGCTGTCATCTCATGTGGCCCTTTGAAAAGTCACTCTAAGATTTGTCCTTCTGCCCATTTCAAGGCGAGTAGATTTTTTCCTCCTCCACTTCCTGCTGTCACGTTTTCTTTGTTTCATATTTCTTCCTGCCCTCCAGATTTGCTGGGCAGCAGACAACAGGGTCACAAGACAGTTGCCTTTGACAGATGAACAAAGTGGCGTTTGAGCACGAGAAAGAAATGTGGGATGTTGCAGAGTCAAGGAGGCTGCAGGATGGCAAAATCAGCTATTGATGAATATGATGGAGCGCACCCATGGTCTTTTCATATCCTTCTTGTTTTCCTTTCTTGGTTTATTATAGCCCTCTGGATAGCCATTGTTCCCCCTCATCATACTTTAGCTTACAGACCTTGTAAGATAAATTCATTTCCCTTTTTTTCCCCATATTCCCCAAATCTTTTCTGGCTCAATGCTTTTTCTATCAATGTGAACAACACACGTTCACCCTCCTCTTCCCAAATGAGAGCTGTATCCAGTTGTCTGGGTACAAACAGCACAAACAAGAAAGAGTGAGGGCTTAAATACCCATCACCCCAAAGCTAACAGAGCTTGGCACAGATTTTTACAAGAATCCATAGATCTGTGCCATAGATTTTTATACAGAGAAGAAAGAAGGCTTCTTTCTCCATTGACTACAAAGGCTTTTCATGGTCACCGCTTAATCCAGGGTTAGCAGCAGTAGTGCCCATACTGATCTTGTTAATGCTAAAAAAATAATAAAATCTGTCTTTCCTATAGCAGCTTTGACCCTGAGGCACTCAACACCAAGCCATATAACAGGAGGAAACAGGCAGGGGATGTGGGACAGCTGGACTATGCCCAAAACACTGAGGAAAATCAAGCCAGCAGCAGGGAGAGAATGCAATTTTCTCCTGTGGTAAAGCACTGCTCCCTAAAAGGTCTCAGTCACTCGTGGGATGCTGTCTCCTGCAGAGCACTGCCATTTCACCACTTTAGGAAGCATCTTGCACAAACATCAGCTGGCAGCCTCACCACCACATTGCACACTGAGAGACTGTTCCCAATATCTATCCTAGCCTATCTCAACGAGGAAGGCTTGGTATTTCTGATGGGTTTGGATGGGATCAGAAACTTCGTGTTTCTTTCCACACCACCTGATTGGTTTCCCAGCCACTGACACTGCTGCGTTCATCGGTTTCAGAAGCTGAAAAAAAATCCCCCAACAGCACCTTGGGGAATGTCCCATTGTTTTTAAAAGAAGACAAGGCAGGGAAAGAAAAAATATACTGTAAGGAACAATCCTGCCTCATCAAGATAAATGGATTGAAATTCTTATAAGTCCTTTCCAGCCCTCACTGCTGAGAAACTTGAGCCTAGACCACAGATGCTTTATAGCTCTCAATGCCTTCCATGCCATGGAGTCGCATTGATCTGCCTTGGCTGAAGACTTGGGCCTCCAGCTGGAGCTGAAGAAGAGCAAGAGCAGCTCCTTGCAGACAACTTATTGCATTTATTTGTGTGGAGTTTAGTGCGAACTCATTGCTCCTGTGTTTCACAGACGTGAACCAGGAGGAGAGTAAATACCACATGAGGTATGGAGCCAAAAGCCAACAAACCTGTACCTTGACCTTTATGGATCGTGTCCTGGATGACTTCCACTGCCCTCAGCTCCAGTTCAGCTTGGGATCAAGGAGCATCTTGATTCAAAAATGACACTGCAGACTTGTGTCTCTCTTCATCTAATTAGCTTCTGTACAAATATGAAGCTGAGCCTGAGCTAATTTTGATGTGCCTCATAAGAGAGAATTGTTTCAGGCCCATTCAGCTTATGTTTCCTTTCCTAAAGCAGCTCACAACTTGTGAGCAGAGCACAGTCAGGGATCAAAGGCAGCCTATGTCTATCTCCACCAGACACTTACAGTCCTCAGTAAAATCTGAGTTCTATTTGCTTCTTGCAATATGTTGATGATGCATATACCAGTCACCTTCAGTGGGAATTTCACTAACAAACCCTAAGTGTTACCTCCTGATGCAGTCACTGAACCAAGACTTCAAGACAGTGACAGCAACGAAGGAGGTTCTCTCATGCTTGTCTAATGGAAGTATTCCAGAGGTACATCTACAAACAAGGTGCTCCAGCTTGCTTTATACAGGGATTGTTGAGAGACACAGAGATGAAGATTATTAGCTGGGTCTTTCGAGGCACAGATCAAACTTGACAGTCCAAATCAATCAAAAATTTATGGTGATTGTATCAAAGAGAGCATTTGGTCAGATTTGAATGGCATGGAGCTATCCTGAATGCAGCCAAAGAAGGGGAAGGGACTCACCATGTGCTGACACTTTTATTTGAGATACCACAGTGTAGTCTGAGACCCCACCTCAAAGAGCTCTGTGACATCTGAACTACTCTTGCCAGCCCCTACCCATGCCAGGTGGAGCATTCATTTCTTATCAAGGTCCTCAAAACCAGTTTTCTCTGGGTCACCAGGTTAAACTGGGTATTTTGTTACTGCAGGGCACAGGGATGCTAAAAGTTACAGTTGTTTGACTAACTGTATGACCCTAACTTAAGCCCCATATTTCAGTGTAGGGGATACGCTGTCTTGTATATATATGGACTCAAAATTTCGTGTATGTTCATCTCTCCACACCAAGGCTGCATTCCACCTCCCACAGCTGCTCTATACAAATTAACTTTCTTCTTGGTTTGGGGAGCTGGGACTTTTCTCATGTCTTGGTCAGGGGAAACAGATCAGCTCCATGAATATGTCTAGCATGTGTCTGTCCATATTTGCTGTGCGTAAACATGGGAACAAGCTGCAGCTCACAGCTAAGCACAGTCCAACCAGCATTCAAATGATGGGAAGAAAATCACTCCTATGTGAGGGACATGCTATTTTCTCACAAATAAATCAATGTTGACCTTTTGCAAAATTATTAAGAGAGGTCTGGGATTTCTTTAACTTTCTCCAGATGAAGAACATTAAGCAAGGGGCATAGGCAGTAGATATTTTTCTTAGAAGATTTTCAGGATGGGTGTCTCAAGTACATCCTCTGCAGTGAGCTCTTTTTGCTTCCAGTCCAATTCTCTTCCAACTCTTGCAATTACACGTTTCTTCTCGGGAGGCTCTAACCACCAACACGATGGAAGAGGATGGTGCTGAAACATGCGGCAGGTGAAAGCAATAGTCCATGGACAAGGATGTTAAGAAATGTGGAACTCCTTCCTGGCAACCATCTATAAATTATTGCCTCAGTGTTATGGTTTGTAGACTTGAGAGTATGCAGATGGAGTGGGGCAGTGCCCAGTCCAGCCGTTGGGACCAGCCAGGTGGTCTGTCATGAAGCAAATGGGATAATGCTTTGCAATTCCCCCACAAGCAGTATGAACTGAGCTCTACTCTCAGCTGAACCACAGTTTTCCGAATTTCTATCCACTTCACCCTAGCAGAACCCTGTTTTGGCCTCCTGGCTGTGCAAAATGTGCTTAAGAAAGGGGGACTGCCAGTTGGGAACAGACCCCTGAGCAATCTCATGTCCCATCTCAGGTTCTGGCAAGGAATAAATGTGTCAGAAGAATTGCAAGAAAATCCAGAATAAGCAAATGTGGATTAATAGCAGGATAGCAGGAATAGCAGGAATCTCTTTCTAACCTCCAGCAAATATTGATTTAAAGGCTCCGTGCAGACGTGGACAAATATTGTCTCATCAATCCTTCTGGGGACATTAAAAGTGTCCTTTCAATGGAAAAAAATATATATATATCTGTTTTTGTTTGGTTTTCTTTTTGAATGTTCTGCTTTTTTTCTTCTTCTTCTGAAAAGAAAACTCAAGTATTTTAATTTTTTTTGGACTACGTGTTCAGAAATACTATCACTGCCCTCTAAGACAAAAACACCATGAATTATTAAAAGGAAATCAACATCCCCTGCAGAAGCACAATTGGAGTTTTACATCAGATTTGTACCCGAGAAAGAAGATTTATCTCCCTTATAAGAAATTCTTATTTTCTTTGTTACGTGAAAACAATTATTTCAATTCTTGATGCTTTCATTATCTACATAAATATTTACTGCCATTCTAAGAATGCACCAGAGCCATGGCCATGATTACAACGTGTTTTATTTCTTCATGAGGCCAGTAAGTATTCTTCCTGAGTCTTTCAGTACATAAAGGGAGCCTATGAACAGGAGGGGAGTCAACTCTTTGAAAGGGTAGATAACTGCAGGACAAGGGGAAATGGTTTGAAGTTGAAGGAGGGCAGATTGAGGTTGGATGTCAGGAGGAAGTTCTTTGCTATGAGAGTGGTGAGGTGCTGGAGCAGCTGCCCAGAGAGGCTGTGGATGCCCCGTCCATCCTTGGTGTTCAAGGCCAGGCTGGATGACACCCTGAGACTGGTCTGATATTAAATGTGGAGGTTGGTGGCCCTGCATGTGGCAGGGGAGTTGAAGCTTGATGATCCTTGAGGTCCCTTCCAACCCTGGCCATACTGTGATTTTATTCCAGGGCAACAAGGATGAGACTGAAAGAGAGAGAGGCTGCGAGGAGGTTTCAACCAATAACTTTTACATCTGTGACAACTACCCGTAATACCAGATGGTTCAACTGCAAAAACATTACAGCAGTGCAAAGTGGTGGCTGGCAAAGCCATCATCTCACGGCTATTCAGTTCTATCCCTGGGCTACTGCTAGGAAATGAGTGTTGCCTGGTATTTAACTTTCCTGCATCTACCACTTGCTCTCGGCACCATGCAGGTGTTGTGCCATCTTCTCCCACCATTCCTGCTCTGCTGCTGTGGCCTCTGCACTGGGTGCAGATTTAGGTGACACAGGACTTGGATCCCAGGAAACCCCTATGAGGAAGCAGCTCCTGACCCCAACTCCTGCAGTGTTCGGTTTCTCTTATTAAATGTCCACCAGTCACAGCAAACAACACAGCCCTAGGCTTTCTCAGTACCTGAAGGGACTTGGGACTCTTTTAACAAACTCAGACAGGTTATTTATGAAACCTCAGTGTCTCAACTTGTTCCAGTTCAAGACATCTACTCCTTCTCCTTTTCTGCTTTCCTCACATCAGTCCTGCTTGTCACTTTCTCTTTGCTTGCAGCCTCATTCTCTTCCTTACCAGCTTAAGCTGTTTGAATGGGACTCCATTTTCATGGAATTGTAGAATTGTTTGAGTTGAAAGAGACTCTTTAAAGGTCATCTGGTCCAACACCCCTGCAGTGCACAGGGACACCCACAGCTCCATCGGTGCTCAGAGCCCCATCCAACCTGACCTTGGGTGTCTACAGGGATGGGACACCACCATCTCTCCAGGCAACTGTGCCAATGCCTCACTACCCTTATCATAAAACACTTTTCCTTATATACAATCTATATCTTCCCTCTTTTAGTTTGAAACCATTTTCCTTTCTCCTATCTTCTCTAGTCACTAATAGCCTTGAGAGGATTTAGCCTACGGAATTGATCTTCAGTAATGATACAGTAAATAATTCAAGTAAGAATCTAATTGACAAGTAGAAACAGAGACCTGTCTCTGAGCACCAGCCTGGGGGCAGGAATTTGCAAAGATATTTCAAACGTTTAAATTCCACATTTTTTTCCCATTCCAATCATTTAATTCCAAGATCTCAGCAAAGTTTAGAGGTGAGTGAGTGTCTCCTCAAAGAGATCATCAAAGTTTTGGATCAGATAGAGCTCTTCTTGCCTAGGAGCTACAAACCATCTCAGACTTGTATCTTTGTCAAGTGGGCGATTCCCACAACTATGGAGTTTCTCACAAATTCCTTGGGAGTAGTCAATGGTGACCACTGTTAAAGATGATATCTCAAATGTGGATTAGTACCTTTGATCCCAGATGAGTTTGGCACTGGTTTTGGTCATCTTTTCCAGAATCCTACCTTCTCAGTGCAGTAGGTTTTCCTCTTCACTCTGTGAAGATCAAAGATCCCAGATCCAGAAAGCCCAATTTAAGGTATTTTTTGGGTGGTACTGCCCAAGCCTCAACTCCCTTTGTGTAGTAGACCCCTTATAGATTGGCTTCCAGCTCTATACAAATCCTTCTGCAAGTGTGCTTATGGGCTACTGAATTGCAACTGCAAAGCTGGCAAGGTTACACATCTTCCATCAGACAGGGCACACAGTGTGATGTGACAGCATAAGCATGGCACCCAAACATTGGCTATCATCAAAGCAGATGGCAGTAGAAAACGTTTCCATGAAAGCAGGTCTTCTGAAAACATAGAATCACAGAATCATAGAATGGCCTGGGTTGGAAGGGACCCCAAGGATCATGAATCTTCAACCAGGCTGCCCCTGCTCTAGAAGCAAGATAACCATGTGATGGTTACACTTCACTAGCAAGTGTTTGGGGTTGAACTAGATGTGTTAATTATCTGAAAGGGGGAAAAAAAAGTGCTAGCTGTTTAGTAAGGAAAGGAAGGGCTGATCAAATGATATTTCCTATGAGGAAGATAGAGCAAGTTCATTACCTATGGGGCACAAAGAGTGTGATGGTTTGTTGGGAAAGGAAGAGAGCTGTGATTATAGGTCTGCAACCTACACCAGGGAACCTGCAACCTATTGTGAGGAACATGCTTTAGTATAGGATTTGGACTAGATGATCTCCAGAGGTCCTTTCCAGCCGCTACAGTTCTGTGATTCTGTGGTTCCTCAAGGAATTCTATGTCTCTTACTGAAAAAACACAGTGAAAAAGAGGTGTCAGAGAAGAGAAACTCATCCTACCCTGTCTTCCCTCCCTGATCTGAGTCAAAAATTCCCTCTCTGAAAGAAGCCTCCCAACCCACCTCACACTGGTGCAGATCAAAACAACAGTCAGAACACAGAAACTTAAATGCATTTTAATTGGGTTTTAAATTGCATTGCTATCTCAGTTCTTTCTCTTCTGATAGTCTCCCAGCTTGATACTTAATTAAAATTAATGTAGTCAGAAGGGATTTTTTCAAACATTTGTATTTGACAGACTTATGACACAAGCCACAAGGGTCTGGGGGAAAAATACAGTCTACCTGCTGCTTCTCATGACAGTCTATCTTTATTTATGGTTAACTTCCAGGAGCTGGGATGAAACCAAGTACTGGGCAGATACCTGACACCACAGCTGAGCCAAACTGTGGTCTGATTTACACTGGGGAACAAGGCCAAAGGGAAAAGCACCTGCATGAAGAGATGGAGTTGTCACTGCAGAGTATGGATGCTTATGATCAGCCAATACCTGAGGTAGTCCATATTGGAGCAATAACTTTACTCTTTGCGTACCTTTTTTTTTTCCCCTCTACATTTTAACATAAAAATTTCCAGTGGCCACTATTAGCCTTTATTTTGCATTTCTCAAGGATTTTACACCCAAAATGTGAAAGATTAGATCTCTGCCTTCAGCCTTGAATCTTGATTGTGCAACTGCAAACCCTGAGTCACTGGCTGTCTCAGTGGGGCTGTCCCCACTGCAGATTCTGGCCCACAAAGGCATTAAATAGGCCTGTGTGTGGCCAAACAAGATGTAGAGCCCAAATATGTGGAATAGCTTTCAAATTTCACTGTATTCCCACAGAACTCTGTGCCTTGTCTCTGTGTCATCAACCTCTGAGCTCACCATGAAAAGAACGCCCATGGTTGGTACAAATGCAGCCATGGCCAATATGGATGCCTTGACATCACCACCACAATACTGAAGTCTAGGAGCATCTTAAACTATGATTTAAATGACACAATTCGTACAGCTTGCCTTTCCAATATTTGGATTTTGCAGTAGCTGTAGGCTGTGAAAGATTTTGACTTTGTGGATGGGAAAGTGTTTAAAACATTTGGAACTCCTGTTACTGCAATTAAAGGATGACAATGCAGTGCTTCATAGTTTTGAGATGTGTTTCAATGCTATTTTTTTAATCAGGAACTTCCACTGTTTTGCATTTGCTGGTTATTGGGGGTGGGAGGTTGGTTTAGGTGAGCTAACACTACTGGCACAGAAAGTTGCAGCTGCTTGGTCTGGGACTGGAAAGGCTGAATCACTTTTTGGGGTGAAGTCCAAATCTTCCCACGAATTGGTCCCATCCCAGCAAGGGAAGGAACCCAATGCATGAAAAATCCCAAAGATGAGCAGGAGGAGAATCGAATTTTGTTTATTGGAGCTTTTTCCTCCCACAAACTGCAGGCCAAGAAAAAAATAACAAGATTGTGATGGTAATATCACTAGGTGGTTGACCCACATCAGTCCATCCGCTCCCTGTTAGGATAAAGCGAAAAGAAAGGAAGGATTTGATCTTGTGGTAGTAAGCCGAGGTAATACAGATGCACAGAGGGGACAGCTAATATCTTCCACCACTTAGGGACACACTGCTGGATGCTCTATCCAAGGGTTGCAGTTATGGCCATGCAGGCAACAGCAGGTGTGAAGACTGGCAGTAAATCAAATTCATAGAATGATAGAATAACTAAGGTGGGAAAAGACCACTAAGTTCACCAAATCCAACCCCAACCCATCCCCACCATCCCCAAAGACCACATCCTTCAGTGCCACATCCCCATGGTTCTTGAACACCTCCAGGCATGGTGACTCCACCACCTCCCTGGGCAATCTGTGCCACTGCATCACCACTCTCCTGGAGAATAAATTTTTCCTACTAGCCAGCATGAATTGCTGCATTTGTTGAAGCACAAGCACCTGCTGGAAAGCCTGGCATGATGCAAAGAGCTAAAGGATTGTGTACTTCATTCTGGAAAGTTCAGGTTCAGATGGGCAGAGTGGTACTGCAGCACTGCCAGGACAGAGGGACGTATTGATTAGATCTCTGGATTAATTGCTGTGCCTTGAAATGCACAGTGCCTTGAAATGCAGTGCTAAGCACTCATCCTCAGGAGACACAACTTGATATTCTGTTCGTGAAACCACTTTTATTTTAGCCTGACTGTGATTTGCCACATACAGTCCCTAGTGTCTGCTTTGTACAGTAAAAGCAAAGAGCTATGACAAAAAGAAAAAAAATCTAACTGCTTGCCCACTGCTTCTGCAGCCCATCCCACAACCACCTTCGCTATCTCCAAGGGTGACTTCCAAACTCTGCCTTTCATTTTTGGAAATGATTAATCCCCATTCTTGCCCAGAACAAAAGGACCTACAGCTGGGCTTGCGCTCAGCAAGGAACACGAAGAAAAAGGGTGAGCAACCTTTCTTTTTATACACCATCAGTCATGGGCTACTGGTTTTTGGTGGAGGAGCTGACAGGCAATTGTGCCAGAATCAGAAGGGACCTAACTGTAAGCGCAGCTTGCTGGAAATGACCCGGGAGTGTGAACACTTGCCTCCTTTGAAACACGCTCCGGGTACAAAACAGTTGGATTTTTTGCTCCATTTAATGCAGGCTCAGCGTGAGCTGGAGATGGGTGCCAAAGTGAAGCCAAGCAAAAATCACTCAGCCGAGCCTTCCCAATGCCTTTGCTGCCTGCCAGGGCGTTTGGTTACAGAAGCGTGAGTTTCTCTTGTTCATGCCAAACATATTGCTACTGGATAAGTAATTTTACCTTTATAAATTGAGCTGTCAGTGGGGGCAGACAGATGGTAACGCAGAACTGAGCACACTTCTCACCGTTCTTCCCACTGCGGTATCTTTAGAGCCATCTGTGTTCAGTAATATTGCTAAAAACACTTTTATTTTAAACACATACTTGGATTCAAAATTACCCCCAAACTGTGTTTTTCTGAGGTAGGGGTGAGGCTTTTTTTAAGCCCAACTCTTCGCTCTGAGGAGGAGAAATGTGATTTTACAAGACTCAAAAGCTGCGCCCAACAAAATCAATTGAATCGCTCAATGTTTCCCATGGAGATAAACTGGTTGAGGAATGGCATTTATGGTTTACTTTTTTTTTTTTTAAATTAACATTGTGGAACTTGAAAAATGAGTTAGGAAAAAAATAAAAATAAAAAAACAATAAAAAAAAATGTTTGCAAAGTAACCAGCATGATAAACCAGTTTTGTCAGTATTGCTATTATATCATATTGAATCTCTTTTTTATTTTGTCATTTCCATCTTCCATCAAACCTGATCGAGAAGAAAATTGTGAGTTCCTAATTTCTGCTTTGTTTTTCTTAAAACTCAAATTGGGCTGATTCAGAAAAACTCAGTAACTTGTTTGTATCTTCTTAATGGGGAAACACAAATCTTTCCCTGCTTGCCATTCTATAAAAAGTGAAAATTATTTCCTGAGCAAAACCAACACAGGAATACACAGCTGGAATGGAGAAAACCCCATTTTTACCTCTTCATCTTAAGAGATACGAAGGAAAATGAGAAATATCAATATTGTGAATAGTTTCATAGATCAGTGCAGTAGGGGAGGGAGAAGGATTGATGAAGATTTAGAGTCATGCAATCATAGAATCATTAAGGTTGGATAAGACCTCTAAAATCCCCAAGCCCAACCCAACCCAACCCAACCCAACCACACCATGCCCACTGACCATGTCCTTCAGTGCCACTTCTCCACGGTTCTTGAACACCTCCAGGGCTATAATTTCAGGGGAATATCAGCTGCCACTGTTTTTCTTTCTCTGCTCTGGGATTTCAGCTGAATCATGGTCTGTGATTGGATTTATTCCACCATCTCTTATATCACAATCACCACTGCAGTGGTCGTCAGTGTTTTAGTAAACAGCTGTTTGGCAATGGGGAGAGAGTGAAGAACAGCTTTTGTTGTCTTAAGGAAGAAGTGAATTCAAGTGCAACAGAATGCCATGAGTTATTGACGGAAGGGACTTTCCTTTTGTTGCATTCATGGGAAGAGCAGGACACGATTCCTTCCTGAGAAATGCACTGGACACTCAGATAAAGCACTTGAAATCAAATAATCAAATATAATCAAATATAAAAATATGTGCCTTTCTCATTGCTAATGCAAGATATGTAAGAAAGACAGCAGCATGCCGCTGGCTGGGAAAATCTTTGAGATTCAGATGGCTCTTCAGACAGCTCCTGAAGCAAAACTGTGCCTCATGCTGCTAATATTCCCCCTGAAATCCAATAAAATGAGTAAAAAGGGATTAAAAATTCCACATCTCGAATAATATTCCCCTCCTATGCTCTGTTTTCACTGTGCTATTGCTGTTATTGTTGGATAGGGCAACCCACATTTCCTGCTGAAACTTGTCACTGTGATAATTTATAGTCTTATTTCTACAGCAGCTTGAAGGTTCTTTGGATTGCAATAGCAAACATGCTTATCTTGCTGGTGTAAGTCCAGTGGTTGTCTGCCTGAGATGTGGTGGAATTGGAGGAGGCATTTTTCAGTGTAGGAGTTGAGCACAAACCACTTGTGATGCTCCTTGCTGATGAAGGATTGTTTTTATGCGTATCACATTTTGTCTGTTACAAGATTTGATTTATTTTCTTGTCCAGACCTGTGAAAACTCCAAGATACAGCAGAACTAGCTATGAGGCTGGCTGTGATACACGTTTGAACTTGCTTGGAAAAGTCAAAACTTTAATTTGATTTATGCCTGTAACAACGTTTGCATTTATACTGATAAAGGCAACACATATATGAGAGTCCCATAAAGAGCAGTTACTGCCTCTACACTGAAAATGGCCTAGAAAACCCCAGAAAAGACCATGTTCAGAGAACATGACAGCACATCCCCCCTTTTTTGCCTATGTCCAAAACACTAACAAAATTGTCGTAGTCATAGAATCATAGAATTGAGTTGGGGGAGACTCTGAAAGGTCTTCTAGTTCAACTCTCTTGCAATGAACAGGAACACCTACAGTTTGATCAGGTGCACAGAGGCCAGGGAAAGTGGACCTCTGGTACATGTCCTTTCAGAGCATGTTGGATACATAGCAGCAAATGAAGTTCAGGGCTGGGATCCCTTTCCAATGGCCCTGAGATCTGTATGTTGACCAGTACTCACATCTCACCTATCTTGAATTAATAACATTTCTGTCTTATAATTGCAGAATCACAGAATTGCAGGGAATGGAAGGGACCTCAAGAGATCATAGAGCCCAACACCCCCTGTTAAAGCAGATACCCTACAACAAATTGCACAGATAGGATTCCAAATAGATCTTCATCTCCATAGAAGGAGACTCCACGACCTCCACAAGCATTAATGTGTTCTTGCTTTTTTTTTTTTTTTCCCCCCATGCAATTTATCTTATTAGCCCAGGAAGTAATCATCTATTAGTGTAACCTTGTTAACATACGATACATAGATATGACCACCAACATAATTTGCTTCTAATACAGGTGGCATGTCCCCAGTGCTGGATTCACCAACGCTCCAGCACTGCTAGGACATGAGGATTAAGGCAAATTCAGGTGTAAGCAAGCTGCAGAAAAGCACATGGAGGTAAAGAGCAGAAGGAAAAGCCTGGGGGAGAGGAGGACTCTGCTCATATCCTAGGAACACAGTTCTATCTCTGTTAGGATTCCCCACCTCCTGCAAACGTTTCTTTTCCAAGTGGCTCACATTTTACAAAAATTTTGAGTACAGAGTAGTAGACATTGAGCCCACAGCATGAGTTCACCATCCTCAAAGTGTAAAGATCCTCATGCAAAAGTGTCTAAATCCCATTGGCTTAAGAGGGTGGGGAGTACTCTAGGAGCCTTTGAAAATCTCAGCAACATCGCTCTGGTTCTCTATGCTTGAGTTGGACTCAGTGATCCTTATGGGCCCCTTCCAACTCGGGATATGCTATGATTCTGTACCTTCTGCAGGACAATGCCTGGTTTCTCCTACATTTTCTGATGGCTCAGACTTCTTTGTCGTTACAGGAAGGTTAAACTGGTAGTTAGACTTTCTTTTCTAGACTAAGGAGGAGATTGCTTTACACAATGCCTTTCATCTTCCCTAATATGCTCCATATTGTCACCTTGATTTCTTCCATCTGGGCAAATCTTTTCTTGACCTCACCTGAAACCTAAAACCTTTCAAAATAAGCCCTTCCACTTCTCTCCTCTGATCCAGTAATGGTGGGTATGACTGGGAGGTCAGAAGTCTGAGATGAGCTGTGACCTCACCCTTGGGCTCCTTGCTGGCAGCAGGTTAGAGGCTTTGAACTTGGCATCCTGACAAATTGTTATTGCTGCATACCAAAAATCAGCTAGTCCTTGTGCCTGTGGGAGGGTGGGGGCAAGAAGACAGGGAGATGGATCCCTTCAGAGAGCAAAGCTATTCCACCCAGCACGACACCGAGACAGGAAGGTTTAACCCAAGAACCCCAAGGTAA